CTCCTTGTACCGCCCCGTGACGTACTCGTCCCACTCGGGCTGCGGCGCGTACTGCGCGGCGAGGAGGCGCAGGTCGGGCGGGAAGTGCTCCAGCGCGCCGATGACGTCCTCCGATATGAGCGTCAGGTGCCCCATGTAGCCGAGCCGCACACCCTTGGGTTTCGCGCTGGTGGCGGGAGAGTTAGCGGGCGACACCGGCATGTGCACAACTTCGCTGACCTTTCTACGTCGTTTCGTTTCGACCCCTCGATTATCCGGTGCATCAGCCGTGCGTCCCGGAAGAGCGCCACTGTGAGCTCCCGGTTGAATCCCCCGTCGATCCGCCCTGTCAGGATCTGATGTATCAGGTCGTACACCACGCTGTGCAGGAAATTATTCCACGGAAAGTCGAAGAACAGGTCCTGTATGTCCGTTGAGCACGCAAGCAAAGGGGGTGCCCGCGCAGTGCACTCACAAGCAGCGTAGACACGACGTTTGCCTCCAGGAAGCGCTGTTTGAGCCTCTCTCCGGGGACAGTCCGGCCAGCCGACATGCCATCCATCGTGCTCGTTCTCCGAAAACTCCGGCGTGAGCTCGCTGACCGAGGTCTCGCAACGGTATCGGAGTCCGCATTCCACGAATTCTGTCGTTGTTGCGAGGAAACAGGAGCGTCGGTGAACGATGGCGAAGACGGCGACCCCGCTGGCAAACTGAGCGCCGTGGCCGTTGGCGATGACCCCGAGAGCGGTGATGCGGTGAAGACGGGCGAGGAACGCTCTATGGAGGGCGGTGTGGACAACACAGAGCCCTTGGTCATAATCGACCGCGGTTCCTCGTACATTGCGATCTCCTCCATTGCATCATCGTCCGAGCTGCCGGGTTCGTCTCCGCTCATATCCTCGTCAGAGTCGAGCAGCGAATCACTGTGCCCATGAGACACCGGGAAGTCGTGTGCGTTCCCGGCGTCGTCGGGCTCGTCGTCGTCCATGTCGTCTTGATCGGGCTCGCCGCCGGAACCAATGGCAATGACTTGTGCGAGTTCTTCTAGGGCGGACAATCCCCCTTGTAGCCGGCCGTCGGCGTCGTAAAGGTGGTCGTACTCTTTTGGGCGATTGAGTAGCGACATATTGGAGCAATGCAGGAGCTCCGCATACAGCTCGCATATTCGATACCGCTCGAACGTCAGTGGGGTGAGCTCGCCTACCGTGGTCAGGACATGGCCATTCTACTCCAACATGATACGCTAGTTCAATGGTCTACGCAACATACGGAGTACGTGGATGCTCACCAGCGACCTTGGTCTCCGCAGAAATTCCTGCAGCCTATCCAGCTTATCGCACATGATGGAGAGCACAGGCCCGAGGTGCACAACACCCATCCGGTCAACCATCTCCTTCATTGCCATCTCCAACGCTTCCCGTCCCCCCTGCTTGGTCTGCTGTAGGTGCTGCTGAACCAGGATGAGGCGATTGCGCAGCGTGTGGAATAAGTACGGCTCAAAGTAGTCAGAATTATTCTGTCGGATCAACTCTATGATAATGCAAATGGATTGTACCACCGAGGACTCAGCACATTCAGGATCAGGACGTGATGACCCAGTGCCGGGAGTATCAGGCATCTCATCAGTTCCATTGGGGCCCTCTGTTGGCCCGAAATCACACAGGATGTAGCTGACCAACTTGGTGACACTGTCGCAGTGGGCGAGCTCCCGGGCGAAGCGGTTTGATGGTGGGACGTTGTTCAGCCCATCACCAATTCCGGCCCCAGGGGATGGGGCTGCCATGGATATGATGCCTTTGATGAGCTCTGAGACAACAGTATGCATGTCGGGGCTATACAATGGCGAAAGGAGGTCGATGAGGCGGGACATGAGATTTTCCCTAGACAGCCACTATATGCCTTGGGGTAAGAGGAGTTTGCGGTAGAGCATACGACAAAGAATGGAGGACATACTTCGAGAACCCCAGCCCCAGCGGGCACATCATCCAGTTGGATAATGCGGACCAGCAGGTCGGCAAACGCGGGCGTTTCGATGTGTCGCAGCAGTCGTTCGACAACATCAGGTTGTGATTGAATGAATGCAAGCATCTGAGCGTGGAGCTCGGAATTTACTTCCACAAGGGAACGAGGAAAGAAAACGCGTTCACCTCCGCTGGTTTCTTATTCAGAAACACTGCGTTGATTTTGGCGAAATGCGACGCCATGACCATTTCGGTCTTCATGTCTTCTGGTGACCTATCCAAGACTGTCTCCCAGAAAGGGGTGAGCAGCTGGGACGAGTTGTTGAGACATGTTTCTACAATAGACCATATGTCGCTGCAGAGGACTTCGGTTGCAACGTAGGGGTACCTTCGTGGAACGTGAGGTTCATTTCACTGAAATGATGCTTCGCTCCGAAGCAATCACGACAGAGAACTCACTTGAATCTGCCCTTCTCCTCGCCTTCAATCTGCCCCGTAACGTACCCCAGGAGACGTTGGAGGATGTCTATGCTGTCAAAGTAGTTCACAAGCCGGCTGTTCTGAGCCTTGCACTCCTGAAGTAGGTCATCCTCATCTAGGATGGTTTCCAGCGAGATGTCCTCCTTGTCTAGCAGACTGTCGATGGTAGACGCATTATGGAAGCCAAATCTGTCGACAAGAACAGAGCGAAGGAAGATTAACGATTTACTGCTGAGCAAGTGTCATGTTTGATACCTCCAGAACATGCGGAACCACGTCGGATATGGATTCAATCACAGGACGTCCCGCAAGATTGCTTAGCGGCAGAAGGCGATAAAGATACGGGAGGCAGACAATTATTCGGCCGGATTGAAAGTGGTCGTGCGCTGAGATGTGTCCGGTTACGTCTGCTATAGATTACGACTAGATTGCCTACAATTGATAATTGCGCGGTTATCCCGCGCTGTATCGACCAACGCTAAAAATAAACTTTGCACCGAGCAGTGCACACAACCACGGCCCATCATAAATAGTCCCAAAGAGCCACGGGGTGATTGGATTCGTATATAACTGAACCGCGTGGGCGATGGACATCATTTCTGGAAAAATCAACGGAGACCTGGCCTAGAACATGGCGCTCAATATGACTCTTTCACTGCAGAACTAACAGTGTTTGCCCCACATCCTATGTAAATAGGCCTCAAATTAACAAGTAGGGCCACCCTTCTTGTACTGATAATCTTAAAACGTTCGTGCTATAGTACCAGAGCCAAGGCACCAATCTCTGTCCCAAATTGTTGCAATCTGACCTGGAGCTACCGCCTTCTGCGGTTCGCCAAATGTAATTTTCATCGTGTTCTCTGAACCGGCCCTACGAATGAATCATATAAGGAGACATCCTCAAATGATCGACTTATGCTGACCTATGCACAGCGCACGGAACATCCATCATGCGATGTCGAAATTGGACTCGACCCTGGAACCCACGTTCATTGTCAAGACCAAAAGGCGGAGAGTTTTGCCATATCCATCTCCAATTAGAGGCCACAATGCCCCTTGAGTAGAGGGCTGAATGATTGCTGCATTGATAGAGTCAGCTAGAAGCCGATATGCAACGAAACCACGACATACGAGCCGGGGACAACGTGGACCTCGTTTTTCTGCACATCTTTCCCTGCGACAAACATTTTCTCAGGCATCCCTCTTATGCGTGCGCCTTGGCCGATGGTATACGACCATAGGCTACGGTGGCTGCCCAAAGTTTTGCCCGTGCTTAGATCTATTATAGAGCCTGGAGTGGGAGGAATATATTGGGCTATATGGGGGTGAATGGATAAACGAGCACGATGTCAAGGCTCTACTACTAAAAACTTACATATGAAGTCGTCGAACTTTCTTTTCTCTCCCACGAAGCATATGCCCATGCTCTCCTCCCTCTGCGCTGTTGGGAGGCCCCATTTCTGTGCAATGGTTCGAACCTCCGTCTTGTGGAACGGAGCAAGGGGAAACAGTGCTCGGGCAAGACTGCGCTCTGGTATAGCTGATAAGTAGTACGTTTGGTCCTTCATTCTATCTTTTGGACGTCTGAGTTGAGGGCGAGGTGTGACATTCACGTTAGACAAGACACGAGATAGAAACGAGGGCAGGGGATACCATGACTTGTCGGCATAGTGTCCTAGCGTGATGTCAGTACGTGCATGTTTCAATGCGGCACGAAAAACTTGACCTGTAGCTAACCATACGTCCTGATCGGCGAAATGGTCCAGTAACGCACCGAACTTGACTTCTCTGTATGTCAAGCATAGTCAAATTATACTATAACAATGGAAAGGTGACAACCAACCTATTGCACCAGATATCAGGATTTGGCGTCTCTCCCATTTCCCACATGCGCAATGCGGGCTCGAAAACACGCGTCCAGTAATGGCGAGATAAATCAACCTATTCACTTGGACAGATCTCAATAAGAAAACAAAGGAGAGAGCAGAAAATATACCAGCTCGCATGGTATGTCTAGTTTTCTGCACACGCGTTGCACATCAGCCCAATCCTTCTTCCATTCGCAACCGCTGTCGGAGCCCGACTCGTCGCGAGTGTCCCAGTTGCGCATATAGACGGCAGAAAGATCGTAATCCTAAGCCAGAGCGATAAGTAAATAAGCGTAAATGCGACAAGAAAGACAAGACCAGCCTTCTGACTGAGCAACGTAGCCACTACCGACGAGTCTACCCCTCCAGACATGGCGATAACGACTGCAAAAGATGATGTTGGCAGTAATTCGACTTGGCAGCAAAGAGGCGACTTACCACGATCCCCCTTACGTGGGTATAGTTTCGCGGCATGGACGTTGTAGATGTTGTATAGAGAGTGTGTGCGCCTCAGGGAATTGGACCATGCCAGCATGAACTACAGAACGAATATTTCGCAGGATAATTTCAAGGTTGATTCGAGGCCATTTAGAACCGATCACCTTCCTGGTAAGGAAATATGTGGACTCTTCCGAGCTGGTCACTCACTTGAGCTAATCGAGCGTTCTTTCTCCGAACCCTCGCAGCTTGCTCGCAGCCCTTGACTCTATCTATGTCTAGCTCTGGCAAGGGCTCGTCCAGCCAGAATAACACCATCGCACAATCATCCGCCTCAGCCGGTCAGAATGTGGAAGATAACCGCCGCGCCCGTCGAAAGCGTGACAAGGCCAATTCGGAGGCAGGCCCTTCCGGTTCGCACATAGAGAGCACGAATGCCCCGAAAACAGATATACCTAGCAAGGAACAAAACTCATTTGGAGACACAGATTTTATTGCGTTCACATTTAGCGACGAAGAAGACCAGGATGTTGAAGACCGGAGACCGGAGGTGAGGGAGTGGGACAAGGGCAAAAGTAGAACGTCTGACCGCGATCATACCGGTCGAAAACGCAAGGTGGACGATAGTAGCTTGGACGATGGATACGCAAACAAGAAGCAGCGAGTCGCGGCGGCCTCACGTAAAGCGCCATGGGTTGCGGATATCGATTGGGATAGTTGCACAAACGTCGCAGAAATGTACCTCTCATGCAACATATTTGGACCTTGTACGTTGCTTACCGATCTATCTATTATAGGTTACACCGTGACGTTGAGGCTTTTGTGAATTACATCTCACCCACACCCGAGGAGAACGAAGTTCGCTCACTAGTTGTTGCACTTATCACTCGAGCTGTCACGCAAGCCTTCCCAGATGCAGAGGTGCATCCATTCGGGAGTTATGACACTAAGTTATATCTTCCCGTAGGGTATGTAAATTCAGTAAATTTGTATTTGTCTCCATCTCATGAATTTGAAGCGATATTGATTTGGTGGTACATTCGCAGTCTATGGCATATAGCAAGAAGGAAGCGGTTCTTCACTCAATAGCCAATACTATGAAACGTGCTGGTATCACGGATCGGGTACGCATTATTTCCAAGGCCAAAGTACCTATAGTCAAGTTCGTCACTTTGCATGGCAATATTCCCGTGGATATCAGTATCAACCAAGGAAACGGCGTCACTGCTGGAACGATGATAAAACACTTCCTCGCCGAACTTCCTGCATTGCGCAGTCTCGTACTCATCGTAAAGTCCTTCTTGAGCCAACGCAGCATGAACGAGGTCTACACCGGCGGACTTGGAAGCTATAGCATCGTCTGCTTAGTTATCAGCTTTTTGCAGATGCATCCCAAAATTCGCCGAGGGGAAATTGATCCATCGAAAAATCTGGGTGTTCTTGTGATGGAGTTCTTCGAACTGTACGGCTGTTATTTCAATTACAAGGAAGTGGGTATCTCAATACGCGAAGGAGGCACATACTTTAATAAAACAGAAAGAGGCTGGCAGGATTTTAGCCAGCCTAGACTCCTGTCAATCGAAGACCCTGGGGATCTATGTGAGCAGTTAAGGCATCGTATATGAGATATACTGACGCCCCCTGCAGCGAACGACATCTCGAAAGGTTCATACGGCATAGTGAAGGTTCGTACTACCCTTGCCGGCGCGCACGGTATCATGACTGCGGCTGCCTATGCACAAGCGAAGATTATAAGCGCAAAACGAGAAGGCCGATATACGCGTTTGCGGGATACACACACTGATCAGAGGAGTATTCTCTCAAGCGTCATGGGCGTCACTCAAGAGGTGTGCTCAACTTGGTGGTCAATATGGCCAGAATGCTGATGGCGTTACAGACTATCAATCACCGTCGATTGGTGCAGGAAGTCTATGATCGTCAGGTGCTGCACCGAATGTTGGGAGTGGCACCTCAGGCGGGTGTGGCTTTGCATGCACAGACGAACGGCCAGAGCCGTGTCGCTCATGAAAAGAGCGTGAAGACCGCTTGGGAAGCGGTGGATATGGAATTGGAATCAAATGACGAACGACACGCGTCCGGAGACGAAAGTCGATACAAAACTGACGACCGCCGACAACCTCCTAGAAAGCGGCGGAAGACGGGACGAGAGCAAGACATGCATACCGTCTATACGACCGACGACGAGGAGCAAAATGTTAGCATTTACATTCCTTCGGACGAGATTTCAGAGAATGGGCTTGATACCAAAGGCGAGCTGTCCAGCGATACTAGATACAATATGAGGAGCAGAATTAGGAGTAATAGTAGTAGTCGGCGAGACTACTGGCTTTCGAAGGGGTTCAATGGTACAGCGAGCGATAGCGATTAAAGTTTACACTGTTGGTTCCTGAGAGGCGCTCTACACTCTACTGCTCCTCAAAAGGCTCATCATACAATTACCCTGTGTAATTTACGACAAACGAGCTTGAAAACTGTTAGTATACGACCTCCGCCGTGGACCAAGCTAAAGAGAGGCGCTAAGCGATCGGCGGCTGACTGGTCATTGCACACGCCAGGGTTGCACATCAACCACCATCTATCTCGTCGCTTTTGATTTGTTACCAGCAGGACGAGCGTACTACTGCAGTCGCTGGTCGCCGCGGTCTTCGCTCTTTTCACTTTCTTTTCTTTTTCCAGATGTAAGTCTAACTTACGTGTTGTTCCCACTTACATCACAACCCATCACTGTTTTCTAGGGCTTCTACAAGAGCCTCTATAACCCCAGTGAACCTGAAAGATCGCATAGCAGCTCTCCAACAACGAAATGGCAGCACCAGCCAGGCGGATCACAAACTTGCGCCTGTCTTGCCCAACTCCACGCGTAGTTTACGGGATAAGATTGCGTCTTTCGAGAAACAAGGCGCCGTTCCCGTTCCGAGGGGCAGCTTTGGGCTCGGTGCCCCCCCTGTGGACGATGGTTCATCGCGCCGGCGAGGAGAGATGATGGGGAATCGTGTGCCGGGACTGTCAAGACCAATGGTGCCTGTCTCAACTAATGGGTTTAGACCCACTAGTCCAGAATTTTCAGGTGGGAGAAGTCGCAGCGCTTCCATTTCTGACGTTCGCATTGCCTCGCCGCCACTAGGATCGCTCTCTCCTCCTCTTTCTGCAGTAAGAGAAACTTTAGATCACACACCCATGGATGATGTCAACGGCCCACGCTTCCCTTCTACGTTGCAAGTACGCACCGAGAGGCGCAGCGTTTCAGATGTTCTACCTAGATCGCGGTCCCCGACCTCAATTGATGCGCCTGTGCCGGTGGAAGAGGAAGAAGCGGAGAATCTTTCCCCTAAATCTGTCTTCAAAATTTCGGAGCTGGACCAACATCTTGAGGACGTCGAGCCTCACAGGGATTTACCACCACAGCCTGCGCTTTTAGAGGCAGACTCAGGGCGACTCTCATCGAATGACACTGCGTCCACGTCCACTGCAGCTGAATCGAAGGATATCTGCGAGTTGAATGCAAAGGATTCCAGTTTACCGCCATCCGTTGATGATACTACGTCACTTACTGGGCAGGAGTGCGACGATATCAACCAGGTTGTTGTCGGCATGGTTGAATCTGAAAATAAGGTGTCAAATATTACCTCCGCCGAAATGTCCACATCTGGAACAGTTCACCTTCCCGAGCTTCAAGCAAAGTCTGTAGATGTACAGGTGAGATCCACGATCAATGCGACGTTGGGAGATTGGGATGAAGTATTCACACTCAACGATCCTACCATCGTATCATGCATGGCCCCTTCGACGGAAATTGTCGAGAAGAAGTTGGAACCTGTGACGTCGTCGATTGTGGTCTCTGAAGCTCAGGATGTGGTTCCTGTCGTTCTGCCATCGTCGTCTGTATTGTCACTGGATCTAAACTCCTACGTTAACGCGAACGCTGCGGTCCAGCCTCCTCTGAAGCCTAAAAATGACAATATGGATGTAGACGATCTTGTTGACCAATCCCTCGCCCTCGATACCGCTGACGCAGTAATTGTCACTGAACCAGCACGGGTGGTGTCCCCTGTCGTGACTCGTGCTATTCTCATTCCTGTCCCGCCAGGTCTATCATCTGGACCTTCCTCCGGCAACACTTCCCCTGTGTCGGATGCGCTTGCGCCCTCTGAACCTTCGCTGACGCCGAAGACTACGTCTAATTCTTTCCGTGCTGTTGTACATCGCAAAGTAGCCGATGGAGCATCCAATCGTGTTCCAAGCCCTCCTCCTGCTGAATCGCTGCCGCGTTGGACGATGACAACTGCAGAACCTCCTCAGTCTCCAGGGTTCGGTGACCTTGCAGACTTGGTAGCAAGTGCAGCCATGTTGGAGCAGCAATTATCTGGTCTTGGATCTCCAACCAAGAACATGCACGTTGATGTGCCTCATGTTTCTTCGACACCCACACCACCTCTCGAGAAACCGGAGCATCTTGTTCCTGATATCGAGTTGACTTCGGCAGAACAACATTCCCCGGTTCAGGATATTCCAGCGTCCAGTGGAAGCTCACAGTACGACACACCACAAGAGTTCCCTTCCAGTATACCTGAATCCAGTGTTCCCGGAACCCCCTCTCGCAGGGATCAAGTGACTAGAAGCCGATTGCTTTCGGACACGCCGCCCCCAGTCCCACCTAAGAGCCCGCGGCCACGCTATTTCTCTACGCTTCTTCCGAGGAGACCAAGCGCCAATGGGATGTTGTCCATGCCTGGGGCATATCCCCGCACAAGTGTGTGCTCAGAAATGTCGGAGGACGACTCAGTACTTGTATCGACTCCTCCCTCTCCCCGATTTGACTCCCATGGCTCGGACACCAGCTCAATCATGAGCTCCAGTCGTTCCTGGAAGCTTCCGAAGAAGGGTCTTGCGAGGGCTACTTCGTTCGCTGACAAGCTCTTGCCTAAGAGGAACAATCGCCATACTGTTGTGCTTGCTTCTCCTGGTAAGCAGCACCTTGCTGTCCGTAACAGCTGGACGACCGAATCATGTATACTGAATCTAACAGATCCGGCTGAACATGGTCACTTGTCCTCAAGTGTCACGTCTCCCCGTACGCCTTCTCCAACACCAACACTCCCACGCTTCGACCTCTCGCCGTCCCCAGACCAACGACGTAGTGCTGCTTCGCCCATGGACCGCCCCTCATCTTGGATATCAATTTCGAGCACGGGCTCCGGGGGGCTCGATAGCGCGCTTTTTGATGCGTTTCCGTCTGTGCCTGACGGTGTCCCGTTGAATCCTTCGCTCCCTCCACAGTCGGAGTCTGCCCATTTGTCCCCTTCGGGGCATCTGAGTTCCAGTGGCTTTACTGCCCGGTCGGCGACGTTGCCTTCACGCTCTAGTTACCAGAAACCACGCTCTGCAAGGATTTAGTCTCATATTACCGAGTATTTTGTTCTTGCCGCATTCAGCCCGATGCAGTCTCGCTTAATCACATCATTTCCTCCATCTTCACCCATTTAGTCCATGCATTTGTTTATCAGGTCCTTTCCGTCGTTACTCGCACTGCTCTCGTTTAATCATGCCGTCTCGCACTGTAAATTACTCATAAAAGGGTGCATACTCCAACTCATAAGCGGAGGACGCAGAACAAACTGGCTCAGTCATGGACGTTATACTTGCATGTGAAGATGAGCATATTAATACAGTGGACACGGATTTACAATTACGGGAAGAAATGGCGTACATAGAGAACAATGTCATGTTTTAGCAGAAGCAGCCCTTTTAAGTGCTGCTTTCCCTGCCGCCGTTGTTGGGGGAGGCCGTGCTTCGGAAGAAGCTCTGGCACTTGGGGAGCGTGCTGCAGACTGCCGTGCTTGGGGTGATCCCTTCGGAACTTTCAACGATTGGGAGCGACCTCGAATGGCATCCTCGACGCGATGCAATTCCTCGTCATCATCGTCCACCATCTTCCGTGCCTGTGCAAAGAAAAGCTTCGCGTCACGATCCGAGATGTTCTGGATGAAGTACATGTTTCCTGCATGCACCAAATTGTGCATTTGCGACCGTTATAACTATAGATTCGACGGGCGTGCTTACCTCGCGGCACGAGGAACATGCCACCAGTGGTCAGCACGAAGCTTGTTTGGTGTACCGTAAAATTGACTGCACCCTCGATGACATAAAAGACCTGTCCATCGTCAGCACCCTTGCTACAAAAGCCGGCGCTACAGAAAAACGTACAAAAGTATTGTCCTTCGTACCCTTTGTGGGCTTCTGCTTGTTGGGCGGTATGATGAGCTGTCCAGCAGCGATGAAATCACCATCCCAAAAGATCTTCTGAAAAAAGAACTCGTTGTTGGCCGCCGGCTTAGGTTCCACGTCCTTGGCAGTAAACGCAATTCCTGATAGCCACGCAGTCAGAGGCGTACTTCAGCACTAACTTCACCCTTTGCTCACGTTTCTTGATCTCCTCGTCATGGTTATAGTCAAGCACAAAACCATCCGTCGGGGTCTCGTCATCCCAACCTTCCTCGGGGTTGAAGACGAGATTCTTATCCGATTCCTCTGCGGTTTTGCTCTTGCTCCGTGGTGGTCGCTTTCTTCTGTGTTTTGCGCCAAGTGGCTGGGATTCCTCCTTCGGTATTCGTCGAATCTCCTTTATCGCCGGCACAAGAGACTTCCCCGTCTCTCGCCTCCCATAAACCACCTTCTCGCATCGCCACCAATCCAGTGGTTTATACCTCGTACGCTTTCCACGACGGAGACCACTCTGGTTCTCGTTAGGATCCTCTGGCGTCACTGTTCAAAGAGTCAATACAGAACTTGATCGCAGAGTTCTGCGACACGAGAAACACGCACATTCGCGCAGTACCTGCACCTTCTTGCCTCCTGGCCGGCCCCGTGGCTTCTTCGCACCCTCGTTCTCAAATCGTGCCTTCTTGCTTGCCGGTTGCTGTTTCTCAATGCTGTCGTCTTCGCCCCTCTCCGGCCCGCTTCTTTTCCGTGAAGCCACTTCCTCTTCTTCCGCCGCGTCCTGTTCTACGTCAACTTCAAACTGGACCATATCCTCTTCCGCGTCGATGTCCTGGTGAGGTTCGTAGCTTGCACGCTGTTTACCTCTGGCCTTAGAAGTGGATGGGCTCCGCGTAAGTTGGAGCTCGTCTTCCTCGTCCTGATCAATTTGTGCAAAACTGGCACGTCGCGAGAGACGTCCGTTGAGCTTCTTGGCCGACTGTTGCTGTTCCTGACGAGCGGAAAGCGGAGAGATGTTGTTGTCATCGTCGTCCGAGTCAAAGCCGGCGCCATTAAGATCAGACCCGCCCCCATAGTCCATGTCCGGCTCATCCGGGAAATCATCGTTGTCGAGAGCGACGGTCGATTGAGAAAGCTGTGATCTTCCTGGGGAACGGGGGAGGCCCAGAGATCTCCGGGAGGACATGGAAGGGCGCGGAGACGGTACTTTGTCGAAGTCGACATCGGAGCCCTGTGCGACTGGGCGAGAGGACGAGCCTACGCGCCGCACGCTTGAAGTGATCGTGTTCACGCGCTGATTAGCAAAGTACTCGGTGGGACTGTACGGATAGCCTCGAGACGCGGGCGCATAAGTGCGAGCAGCGACCGACGGTGTGGGAGAACACTCACTGTCCTCCAACTCCATCGACATTTCGCCGTCCTCGTCTTCCACATGTGTTTGAAGCACTGGCGTCTTCGGCTTTGGGGTGCGCTTCTTCCTTGCATTCTGCACTCGCGGGGGCGTGCGTTGATCAGCCTGGCTCATGACCTTTTCGAACGGCTCGAACTCGTCGGACCTGTGGTCGACATACGCGACAGCCATGCCGGTCTTCTTGCCATGATGGAGGTCATCCGCGCGGTATGGGATGTACTTTTGCGGCTGGCGTCGGGAGCCGATGCTGCTTTTGCGAGCAGACGCAGGCATCGAGACTTTGCTTGTTACACAGAATAGTGAGGGGATGCGTTCAACGCCACAACCGTGACAACGCGCGAATGTCTAAATCACATGACTTGTTTGTCACAGTCACCACACAATCAATACGCGTCGCGGGTCGCGCGCACTGAGGCGCTCAGGCTGCAGCGGGCCACTGAGAGTGACTCCAGTTCTGTGAATGACTATGAATCATCATTTTTGGATTAAACACCTGCAACCGTCAAGCGATCTGTGTCGCCTTGAGTATACGCCCGAATGCAACAATTCAAGGTCCCGCCCTCGTCCAACGACTTGCCCTCTCCAGCCCAGTCCCACCTTGCCCGGGCCTCAACCCCATCGGATGGCACATTCCGTGTCCTATTCCATACGATCCCAGCCCCCTCGTCCGTCTTGTTTCCGCCAACAGCAAACCAAGCGATGCGCTTGGTATCCCCCGGCATGGCTCCAAAGTCGATATCCATGTGAACCAACCCCGCCACCGTGAGCAGCGCGTCAGCCATCCTCAGCAACTCTTGATTCTTGTCGCCCGCGATCCACTCGCGATGGGCTTCAAGGGACGCCCACCCCGATACGAGGAATATCTTTCGTTCCGATTGTGCACGGCGAAAGAAGAACAGTTGATGACCGGAGCATGCTGCCTGCTCCGTTGCGAGGCGGGCGAAGAAGGCGCGGATGCTGGGAGTGTCCCATGTGTAGGGATGGACGAGTTCAAGGGTAGCTAATTCTGTTATCGTCATCGCAAGTGGATGCGGGTACGAGGTCTAGGCGTTGGCTCAGCGCAAGCGTCTCAGGGCCATATATGCCAAGGTGATATAGGACGCGTCATCCACCAAGCCATCCAGTAGCACCTTACTAACGGTAGATCTAGATAGCCATATATACTAGCTTTCTTGGATCGGACACGGCTAGGGATGTCTGAGAGATAGGTCCGTGCATGCGGTTTAATTAATAGAAAACAGGAAAGCATTCCGACTCGGTAGGATAATCACATTCAAACGATAGCCAGCAACACCTCCAGACATGCGCAAGAGATGGCACAAACACATCTCAGAACTGTGTTGGTGTTAATTCAATGCAATGTAGGCGTAGGCAAGCAGTTAGACTCACCCGAATCTGGTACGATCCGCTCGCCTTTGTCAAGTACCTGACCCACTTGATACTCTGATACCCGCTCTTCTCGAATACTTTCAGAAAGCGCACGATGAGGCCCGAGGCAGTGAACATGAGTACTTGAAAGTCGACGTCAATCGGTGGTCGCGCCCAGACCTGCCGGTTTGTCGTGCTCGTCAGAGCAGCGGTTGCAGAGAGGGTGACTTCTTGTCCACCCTGTATCCGCTGTAACCTATCATAGGTGGTGTTTACGAGGCATATAGGGTGAGAAGATAGGTCCGACGCACTTCCAAACAACGACATTCTCTGCAGGGACGTATTTCGCCTTTCCACTGATGACCTTGCAGTCAACCGTAGTCGTGTTCAGCGGTGTTGGTATCCGCACAACAACGTTGGTAGCGGATAGTTTGTTGTTAAAGTTTGTTTTGACAGTGACGACGTACTGCACTTGCGTTGTTCCGACCTCCGTGACTGACGGTATCACTTTCAACGGCAGCTTCACGTTAGATGTCGAACGGTATCTAACCCGATTCTATCAATAACCGCGCCAAAGTTCGGGGTGGGGAGGAGGGCTCACCGCATGAGCTCAAACTCTCCGTCGGGTGGTATGAAACTGATAGTGCGATCTGTATCAAACTCTGTTAGACGCACGCATTGATGGAACCGACAATCGTCGAGCTCGACCGCATCGCTTGCGCCTCTGTCATTTTTGTCGATGACTAGCTTGTCGTTTAGGCCAAATTTACATTCGGGCGTCCCCGTCAAGTATGCGCGCATCATGATGTGCCCGTCGACGTCGGCACGCAGAGTGGTGCCTTCATAATGCACGTCAGTCTCCGGAACGGAAGGATGATAGGGGGGCGGGACGGACCCTTGGCGGACATGCTGAGATTGACCGTTTCGACGACATCGACAAAGGCCTCGTTCTTCTTATACTTTACGTCCCCTCTCCGCCAACTCGTGGCACCGGTCGCTTGCACGGTGATCCTTGACGACTCCTCCTGCAGCGCGGACATGGTATAAGACTATGAAGCGGCGGTGTCCACCCCTCTTACCGGCGCGATATTCGTTGACATGACGCTTTCGGTCGTGATGTAGGTCTTGAGCGTATCGGCCTCGCTGTTCTGGGGGTATCCAAAGTCGTTAATTTCTAAGACGTGCCGGTCAGGTTGCCATGTCCGCCAGTGATCGTGCGCGACCGCAACACCCACCATCGATCAATTCGTAGATGAGCACAAAGTTGTTCTTAATCGCCTCCTCGTCCACCTTCCCAAAGTAGGACTTGGCGATTGAAATAAAGCGGTAGCAGAATTCGAAGACGAGGGCAGCATTGGCATTGCACCTGCATGGGATGCGGCGTGCTCAGCCGAGCAGTAATCTCCGAGGAGGGCACGGAACCTACTTGGTGACTGCCACGACATAGAGGTTGTTCACGCGTACGTGAAAGAAGCTGGTTGAACCGAGAGTGATGATGGGGGACCGCACATCGCTGTTGGAGACGACCTGTATCCGGAATACGTCCGCAATGGAGCGCCTGCGGGAAGAGAGGGGAAGGGGGACGGGTGAGGACTGTGTTGCGATATCCGCTAGCGTGACACAATACGTTACTTGAGATCAGGCCGGTAGAGGCGGGAAATGAGGACCTGGCGGCAGGTCGATGACGCACATGTCAAGGAGGCGAATGGAAGGCGACTCACCTCTCCTTTCTGGTTGAATATGAAGAAGGCCTGTGGGGAGGGAGATGCGGACAGGGGGAGGGGAAGGAGGCAGTTGGACTTACCGAAATCATGGCTGGCGAGAGGAGGAGCTGAGCAGCTGCTGGCGCCGGCGCCGATTGGATTCCCCGTGGGCGGCGCGTACGTCACGCGGACGGGGATGCGAGCCGCAAAGTCCGCGACTGTATTGATCAACGTTCGGGTTACTGTATTCGTTCCAACCCGTGCACTCTAGCCGACCCATTCATCCCCTTCTAATTCTTATATTGGCATCAACACTCAATCCTCCTCGGATCGTTACCAAGATAACTAACCAGGAACGGCCCTCCCTCTTCCCCTCCTCACACCGCGCCTTCTTCGCGAGCCCAAGGCTCGTCCAGATTCCCCAAACGGTCACTCGCGTATATCTTTTCCAGCCGCCATGGCCATGCTTTCACCGCGGGCCATCTCGCAGGGCACTCTGTGCGGCCCGAGTGAGGGCTGAGACTTTCTGATTCGATATGCCATCTAATTATGAGAATCCCCGAACATCGTCAGGGTCATCCGACACAAAACCGACAACATATACGCCGTAAATCGACGAGTCTGCTGACCATCACTGCTGCTTCCCACCGTCCCGCTCATCGCCTATCCCACCCGGTGTTCACCCCTCACACCACCACACACGCTTTCTCGACCGAGAGTTTCCCCGGATTTATTCTCGTCCATGTGCATGAGAGCGAATCGACCTCGGCGGGCAATCCTCGGCCTTTCCGTGCAACGAGCTCGACGCTATAAGATCGACGAAGGAGGTGATCTGGTAGCGGTGAGCCCTGCGGTCAACCTCTAGCACATCAGCTTTCTTTGACTCACATCGACGATGCGCACCTTCATCGGCACTACCGCCCTAGCCTTATCTGCGATCACGGCCGTTTCTGGGCAGTTGACTTGGAACGCAACTAAATTCCTCTTCACGTTTGGTGACTCGTACACCACCGATGGTTTCAACATCACCCTCGGCGTAAATTCCACGGATCCCGGATACGTGAGTCGCAGCGCCGCTCCACGCCTGGTATTCGACTTCTAAACCCGCATATGTTCTGATTTGCATCTTCACAGACTTCCTCGAACGGCCCCAATTGGGTCGAGTATCTCGGTAAGCCCGCCATTTCACCCCCACGGAGCGCTGAGCTCAACGACCCCAGGTGGATCGTATAACGTCACGGATACCAAGGTGCGTCAGTCGGCTGTTTCCCCTCACACCCCGTGGCCAGGATGCAGGATTGATGCCGTAATGATACAAGGTCTTCAACCTAGCGTCTGGAGGAGCGACTATCGACGCCGCGTTGGTCGCCCCGTACGAGCCAACCGTGTTGTACGTTATTGCCTGTCGTCGAATGGGCCGCATATCGCACACATGTCCACCATGCGCTGACCTGTACTCGGGTTTGATAGATCCATCGTGGACCAGGTGTCCCAATTCCAGGAATACCTGGCGGCGAAGCCCTACGGCGCCCAGTGGGATAGTGCGGACAGTCTGTTTGCCATCTGGATAGGAATCAATGATGTCGTACGCATGATCCGAGGCCTTTCGTCATCACCATATCACTCACCGCCGGCTGCATGCAGGGCAATTCGTATGCCTGGGTCCGATGCCTTCACTGTTTCTCATGAACGCCCCGCTTACCGAGAATGCTGAATATCACAGACCAACGTCACATCACAGTCGGCCTTCCACACCATCTTGATGGAGCGCCTGTTCAGCCAGGTGCAGTGTTTCCATTTCCATGCCGGGAAGTGCGCTCGCTAAATTTACGTGTGGGGGCATGCTGCAGGTCGACATATTGTACGAGGATGGCGCTCGGAACTTCCTGTTCCTGACCGTGCCGCCCACGAATCGCGCGCCTCTGCTGATTGAGGCGGGTCCGACCGCGGTCGGGCAGATCACCGCGGCGCTCGCGGACTACAACGACCAGCTCATGGCATTCGTCGACCTCTTCCAGGCGACGCACCCCGATGTCACGCGGGCGACCGTGTTCGACTCGCGGCCCGTCTTCAACACGCTCCTGGACAACTACGCCACGTTCGGCTACGTGAACATCACCGGGTACTGCGCGGCGTACGAGAACGGCACGCCGACGATGACGACCCAGACGGCGCCCTGCGAGCCCGTCTCGAGCTACTTGTGAGTGCGCGCGCGGGCCCGCGCCGCCGCGGTTCTATTTTGCTTTTTATTTTTTTTTGCGGACGCGGCGCGCTGACTGGGCCGGCACGCCCCGCCTTGCAGCTGGCTGAACACCCTGCACCCGCTGTACACCGTGCACAAGTGCGTCCCTTCCCCGTGCCTGAGTGTCCGCGCGCGCCGTGCTGACCTCCCTCCCCCCCC